ACCCTGACCCTGACCCTGACCCTGACCCTGACCCTGACCCTGACCCTGACCCTGACCCTGACCCTGACCCTGACCCTGACCCTGACCCTGACCCTGACCCTGACCCTGACCCTGACCCTGACCCTGACCCTGACCCTGACCAATCTGTCTGCTGTAGGTTTGCCTTTTCATTGCATTTGTTGTGTTCAGGGTCCTATTGTTTCATCCTCATATATTCAACATCAGTCTGTCTGTGGGACCACAGACGCCAGTGAAAGTCAATTATTGTGTTGTCTCATATTTGAACAGTAATGAACTCAGATCAAATCTCATTCTGATCGTTTCCTGTAGTGAAGTGGTGAACAGTTCTTTTCCACCAACTCCTTCATAATTGGGATGAAGAGTTTGTACAAAGTGCAGCGTTGTGGGTGTGTTAGTTCAAGTCAGGATTTGATGTGTTGATATAAACAGATAAACAGCTGCTGTGTTAGTGGGGGAATCATAAACAAGGTTGTAGCCACCGGCTAATATTTGATTTCTATTTTGGCTTTCAAAGGAAAAGTCAACCATCTATTTTTGGTTGTTGTTTTATTCCACTTTAAAGATGCAGTATGCATCTTCCTCTCTCTCTCTTTCACCCCCTCTGTCTCTCTTCCTCTCTCTCTCTCTCTTTCATCCCCTCTGTCTCTCTTTCTCTTAAAACACACATGTCAAACTCAGGCCCGGGGGCCAAATCTGGCCCAAAGTGTAATCATATCTGACCCATGAGATCATATTAAATGTGTACTGGAGTTGGCCCTGCAGGATATAGAACCCACATGTACTGGCAGGATTTGTAGTATTAGCAGTGTATGCACTATGTGATAGCACAAACATTTTGTTTTTGATGTTGTTGTAAAACAGATTTACATTAAAACGGCACTTGAAAGACTACAGATAGAGACAGACGTGATAAGAAACAAATGACCACTGATGTGTGTTTATAATATTAAACTGTAGTTGTTCCAGTGTTAACGCAAAACTGAAGTTTGTTTCCAAATGAAACAAAATCCACATTACAGATCTGGAGAGAAGAAAGAACAAGCAGAATTGATGTCAATTTTTCAATAAATATTAAGTTTGGCTCGCGACTTTGTCCCAGTTTTTTATTTTTGTCCACTGTGAATTTGTGTTTGATACCTCTGGCTTAAAATGTTTCTGGTGCACACAGTTTCTTTCTCTCTTTTTTCTTTCTCTCTTTTTTCTTTCTCTCTTTCTCTCTTTTTTCTTTCTCTTTTTTTTCTTTCTCTCTGATTCAAATGCTTGACAAGTCACATGCTCAGGTTTTATTGGTCGGCTGCTTTACAGTCTGGCTTTGATTTTACACCTTGTTCAGTCTTGCAGATGATTTCTCTCTAATGTTCCCCAGAGTGAAAAATGAAACTTTGAGAAACTCCAGTCAGTCTCAGTTGCTTCCCTCATATAAAATCTTATCAGTGATAGAATGTAGCGCCTCCTTGGCTGATGTGTGGGAATCACTGTCCTTTTAAATGAAATCTCTCTTGAAGTGTTTTTGTCCGTCTGAAGAGAGCTCTTTAGTCACCCAGATCCAGCTGATCTGGTCCTGTTGAGATTCCATCTTGGTGAAAATTGAAGCCACCATCCCACAAAGGAGCTGAAGCTCAACCTTCACGTTTTTTTCTCAACACTTTTCCACATTAATAATCCCATCGTGTGGATGAGTCGCTAAGAGAAACACAGGTGTGAAACACATGAAACACATACATCTGCCTGATTTGTATGTGTATAGCTATATATATTTGTGTGTTTATGTATACAAATATATAGTGTATATATTTCTGTCTGTGTATATGTATGTATGTCTATGAATGTGAATGCATATATTTGTATGTGTATGTATATATAATTATATATACTGTATATACATGTGTATATATGTATCTCTGTGTGTGTATGTATGTATCTGTGTCTAAATGTATAAATATATTTATGTATATACGTGTATATATATATATTTCTGTGTGTATGTATGTGTCTATGTATTTATGCATACACGTACACATGTAAAGACATAATAGGCGTAAACACACACGTTAAATAAATCTCTCTCCTCCTTTGTGTCCTCCAGAGACCAGAAGAGGAAGGACGGTGACGGCACAGTGGATTTCCTCAGATCGAATCAAGAGGCAGGCTGAGACCTCGACACTGGTCAGTAACCTCTCAGTTAATTCCCCCAACCCCCCCACCTCTGACCCCGCGACCCTGAGCTCACCACATTAACCACAGCTCATTCAGCTGTGTCTCAACCTATGGACGTTGTTATTAGCGTGACCAATGTCTTCTGTGGACCACATAGACTGGGCTCCACACGGTGTTTACTGAGACGTGAACAGGAGTTCACAGAGAATGTTGTATGATGGCAGACCGATATTGGATCTAAAATAATCCAGAGCCGGTCCAACATGTTCAGCTGTGAGTCACTGTTTTCAAATCTTAACATAAAAAAATGTTTTTCTTGGTTTTCATCAGTTATAAAAATGCCTAATGATACTAGCTCCTTCAGAACAACAGACAAATACAGGTTTTAGCTGTTTCGCTAACGGCCAACCAGCGTTTTGGAAGCAGAGATGCTCATTTAACCATTGAAAACCCTTTTTCTTTAGCTGGTTAGCAATAATGCTACGCTAGTATTTGTCTAGCAAAGTACTTTAATTAGGTTCAGTACTACTGGTGCTACCACATAATTGTTTTATTGTTTTCTATAGATAGATGATTTAGGCCAGGTATAATTTGAAGGTCACAGTGAATACATTAGCAGTACTACAGTATGTGCCTTTGCTCAAACATACTCCATCATGAAGTACATTCCTAATTACACCGTGTCCAAGTGAAGGTTTTATCACTGAAATGTTTCACACAGCAGACGACCTTTGTCACACGATGATTCTTTCCAGCCTCTCTTTGTCACGGCCTGGTTTTATGGTCCAATAGAGAACGTCTGTCCTCCTGTCCTGAGGGGACACTTGACTCTGTGCTGTGATCATTGATATACAGTAAAAAATGATTTTTAATGGCCTCTGCCAACCAAACCCAACACCAGTTGTGCTGTACTCCAGGCAGAGCAGTGGTGGCGCTCATTCACACACGTTGAGGAACGTTTACCCTTTAAAACTAAAAAGGAAGAAGAGACTGAAGAGACGTCACTGCTGCTACTGGACTGGAAGTTTGATTCTGTGATATGTCACATGAAGTTATGTGGAACTAAATATCCATGACAAAATGTATTGATGCGTTAATGGACTAATAAAAAAATCTGGCAGTTATGAAGTTTATTCAGCATCAACTATGAAACAGATATAAATATAAAGTTATAAATGCTTTGACTGACAGGCAGCCTTTCTGGCATATTTCCTGAGCTTTAGTATCAGACCTTTGTCTATCCTTTCCATAACTTGTACACATGAAGTACCAAATGTGTTTTTCTTTGTACAGACATCAGTCAGTACTTTGTGGTATAGTAAGGTTACAGTTTTTTTTATCAGTTCCTGTTGACAGTAGATCCAGTGGCTCCTGAATATAATTCATTTGTAAAGGGTTTTAGGTTGTTTATACTGTAGTACACAGTTCTGTTGGTGGTTTAAATACTGTACAGTACTGTGGTTCAGCTCTTTCAGCATCGTTGCTGATGAGACTCATCACTACTGTGTTCTCAGCCAAGTGACTGGAGAACAGATGTTTGAATGTCTGGACTGGAGCAGGAAACAGAGCAAATATATTAGCTCTGAAGTTTTTCTTCTTCCTGTGTATATTTCTGCCTTTGTACTGTGATACAATGTTATGTCAGTGATATGTTGTTTATGACAAGGGCAGACAAATTGACAAATGGCCTGGACCATGCAACATGGCCCAGTGCCGTGCTCAACAGATGCCCATGTTTGGCCTAATGGCTGTTTGGCACGAGTGAAGATTTGAAGCTGGATCTTTGAAGGTGACGGGAAAAGACAGGGAAAGAAAAAGTGAAGGGATTTGAACTTTTCACACAGAAATCCAGGGTTTAATGAAGCAGCAACATTTAGTCGCATTTAACCTAGCAACCCAGCAACTTTACAACGGTTAGCAGTTAGCACAGATGAGCCTGTCGTGTACAGGATGGAACTCAACTGAGAGAGGAAGTGTCAGAATAAAAGTATGACAGCCATGAGGTGTACTGCACACATGTTAAATATATATTTTTGATAGTTTTAGTTTGACAACCTAAACATTTGCCTATTTATGAATACATAAAGAAAATACTGTTACACTGCAGTTCTATATAGACTGACTGTAGTACAGTGGTAGGATGTAAATACCTGAGGAACGCACCTTCAGAAAACCATAAAGTGCTCATTTATTAGGTAATATATGGCTTACCTTTTCTTATATATAAGACACGCTGCAGTTTGAGACACGTCTCACTGTTTGTAAAATCTGAAGAGAAACTTGAGTTTTTTTTACTGTAAAATATGGAGATGTTTGTTAATGCTGCTAATACAACTAAAGTACTCATAAATATTCAGATGAATACTACCTTTGTTTTCTGGCTCTGTGACAGTCTGATTTGTTTTCTACCCATAATCCCATTAATAATGATCTTACATGACTTGGCAAAAATGTAAATAACATCCAAATTGCACTTAATTTTTATAACGTATAATTTTCCAGAAAGATTTCATTTTTTTTCTTTTCATAAAAGCCCTTCTTTGCCTGTTGTCAGTTTAATTCCATTTCCTAATTGTCAGCCCGTCACAGAGTGGTCAGTGAAGTGACCGTTCCTCTGAGCTGGAGCACAGACCTCCTTAAATGTAGCAGCGCGTCAGGCTTTTGTGGTTTTCTCCTCATTTCCCCATGGATGATTTGCTGCCTTGCTCCAGGGCAGCTCCCCTGTCAGGGACCATGTCATGGACAGTAATCACTGGAGGCGTTCGCTGCCTGCTGTGCATCTTAATGCTCACAGTAGAGAAAAAGTGAAACACAACTCAGTGCTAACCCTGTGATTGGTCAGTGGACGTGTTAAAGGTAGTGAAGGGGGGTTGATGTCATGATTTAGTCAGACGGCTACAGAGTTGTCAGTTTGAATCCTGGAGCCCTGATATTTCAGAGAAAGTCTCGTTGTGATTGGCTCAGGTCTCACCTCATGATCATAAAGAGCTTGGCAGGGACATTTAAAGGCCCAGGAGGACAGTGGTCTGCAGTAGCCTCTGTGAGAAGACGTCAGCTGATCTGATGAACCAACTATCAGGGACTTTTAATCTGATCAGAGTAATCAATATGATCCCATTAGACAACTGGCTTTGTATTGATCAGCTACTGGTTGATGAACGTCACCCAGCTCCTGACATCAGTTTATTTACTCGTCCTTGGTCAGTTTGTTTTTATTCATGAAAACCTCCCACTGTTCTCGCTTTGAAGCAGTGGTAAAAAAAAAAATATTTCTTTTTCTTCAGGATTGTGTTGTGAAATATTATAGTTGGTCTGTGGGTGTTTGAATATATGAATGTTAATGTTTCAGTTAAAACAATAACTTTGAAGCTAACGGCTAACAGCATGCTGCGTCTATGGATTAGTACATATTTAAACTTCCAGGCCCTGTTTATTACATATATTTTGTAGTTTTTAATTACTTTATGTATAAATAATTTATATTTTTATATGTTTGGCACAGAGGGCAGTTTTTTTTGGCACATACAGTATAATACAAAGTACAGAATCAGTACGTACTACAATAACAGTTCAATTCAAAGTAACACTTCAACATCCAGCCTTTGTACTGAGACTTTATATTTAGTCATTAATTCACTGACAAAATAAAATAAATAAACAAAACCAATAGCAATTAAAGCCATACTTATATTTATTCGCTATTTTTATTGTGAGGTGACACAAAACAGTAACAGTTTAGCTTCATAACTAGAGGCTGAGCCAATAGAAACATTCTCTTCTATACTCACTCAGACTCACAACGAATCCAAATTCTAGATTAACACCAAGTAAAGTTCCTCGTACTCTGTATTACTTTCTGATTATACTACAGTAAACAAAACTCTCCTCTGGACTTTTTGACGTGACCTCAGTGGATGTGAATTGACCCTGAGGTCAAACTGGACTTTAACAACATTTTGACTGGTGTCGTTCAGATTTGAAACTTCCGTCTCAGAGATGGAAATAATGATTCTGTCTCAGCGTCGTAGCTGTTGTTGATGACACAACGGGGAAACAAACTGGAGTATTGTTTGTTTGTTTGTTTTTTTAGTTCTTTTCCGCAGCAGGAACAAAGAGGAGACGTTGGTGTTGTTGACTTTCTTTCATCCAGTTCAACACATTCAGTCAAAAGTCCAGGACTTCACAGTCCTCCTATTTTTATAACTTCACTTTCCGTTTGTCAGAGTTAGTCTGCTTTGAATTCCGATCTATTTTTGTCTGTTCATCTCGTTCGCTGCTTTCATCAGACTCCACTTGTCAAATTTAGGCCACAAAGAAACGTCGCTTGTTGTTTTTTTTAACACAGAGAGAAATCAAAATGTGACAAAGTGTTTCATCCTCACAGCCGACAAACATAACGGCAACAAAACACAACCGAGCAGAACTCAGTGTGGAGACCAGACCTAATGACATGTTTGTGTCCTGTGAACGCGTCGCATTATTCTGGGGCAGAGCTGATGAGAAGACACCAGGCTGGAGACAGCTCATTGGTCCACATCTGGACATTGTTTTTAGAGTGTTGTCTGTATTCCTGCTCAGCTCAGCTTCCACTGCTGTGACTTATGGCTGCAGATTCAGCCCGGAGGAGGAAGGAAATCAAAGATTATTCCAGTCACACTTTCTTTTTATCCTCTTTGCAAAGCAAATTTAATTTTTGAAATTAAAATAAAAAAAACAGAAGTTAAGGATTAAACTGAAAATCCTAGGAAATTATTATTTAATCATAGCCCCGTTAAATAAAGACTGAATGAAATGGGCTTTCCAAATTCTTCCCCCTTCATATCCTGAAAAATACTACTATGGTAATAAAAAGGACTGAATTTATTTATATATACCTTCATTTCTGGACTATTGAGCATACCTGAATATAAGCCACATCCACTAAATTTAAAAAGAAAAAAATAATTGTACATATATAGGCTGCACATCTCTCTATAAGCCGCAGGCGTCCACGTTATAACATGGGATAT